GATGATGATGATGATGCCTTTATACCTAAATAGTTCAGATGATTTTCTTAAATTAGATAGAAATTGACCGCTGGGTAGTGACGCAGCAGAGCGAAGCGCGTATGCGGAGATGATGCCTGGCGGTCCTCTTGACAACTGACTGCTACGAGACGTGACAAAGATAGACAATTTTAATGGAGGATTACTGCAGATGCGCAAATTAATGAAGGATTACTCCAAGTGCCAAGCAGTCAACGCCCCAAGGGTCTTAAACGTATCATTACGTCAATTCAGAAAAGAATTGAAAAAAAAAAGATCACTATAAGTCGTGGTGCTTTTTCCACCATTAAAATCACGGTAGTTGTTTATTAAAACCATGGAAATACATTGCCACTGACATATGGCCTACAAAAAAAATTCCTACAAAAAACCGTTTTTCTCAGAATTTATAAAACGTCACTTACCCTGTTCTGGTTTTCATCCGTTCATATATTCCACTCAGTGATAAAAACTCCGGTCGTTTTTCCTACCAGAGATAACTTTTATTTTAAATGTCTGTTATATGACTACACTTCAGTGTTTCTGTACAGCAAGGTAAGAAAACTATAAAAACATTAAAAATATCTCAACACATTGTTGATTGAATTTTGAATGAAAAATAAAGAATGCTAGGAAAAAGTCCCCAGAAAAAATTAAGAGCATCCAATCACTTTTCCCCTTTCATTCATTGGTAACTTTTTCCTGTAAGCTTTAACTAGAGTAACATTATTATTATTATTATTATTATTATTATTATTATTCATTTGCTTCACGACTAAACATGTTATGAGTCGGTTGAATATAAAATTTACTCCAGTTTGGCAATCCGCTTCCTAAGGTGCAAATCTAATGTTTGTGGGTGCTTCTACAATACTTTGCGAAAAATATGAGCTCTTCCAAATAAATTAATGTCTTGCACTTTCCAATGTCTTTTGAATGACCTGAGAGTTTAGCCAAGTTCTTACACATATTTTGCGGAATAAATCCCAGAGCTCCGATAACCATGGGGCGACCTGCGCTTTTACGCCCCACATTCGGCTGATATCGATTTCCAAACTCTTATATTCAAGACGTTTCTCTGCCTCCTCTGTTACGACGTTTTGATCGCAACATCCACCAGTAGACAGATTTTTTTCTCCAAATCCCGGACAACAATATCCGGTTTGTTTGCCGATATCGTGCGATCAGTTTGGATTTCTTGGTCGTACGGTATTGTACAAAGTCCAACAGCGGCCACGGGTTTTGGTGAATGTTTGTCCAACTTGGAACATGTGGTTTTGAACTTCGAAGACGTCACGGATCTGCCATTGGAGATAACTACGCATCTTTTCATGTTTCCTGTCTTTGCTAGAATTGGAGAAGCTGAGAAAATATAAACAATTGTTTCTACTTGATCCTGGTATATGCAGCATTTGTCAACATGGGGAATGTTGAGTACCGCTTTATCATAATGTCGTTTTCTCACCGCCTGATTTTGGGCAGTTATTATAACTGCTTCGGAATCTGGCTTCATTCTTCCCATTTTAAGGTACCGAAATGATTGATCTTTATTGATCTGCACCTTGTCTTGTCACTTTTTAGATATTGTTCATGGAGTGGTTTGTCTCTCCACGATTTCTTTAACATTTTTGGTGCCAAGGGCAGTCATAGCACAATTCAATATATAATGAAAGGGGGAAATTCTATGTCTGTTAGACAAAAACCTAACTAACTAGGGGCGATAGAAAGAAGTGCGAAAAACAAGAATATTATTACATCTCGGAAAAAACCTCACGTTGAACCAGACCCCTTCTCATATGATTATCTGAGTCACCTTAAGAGGTCCAAAATATTCTATTTGTGAAAACGTTATTCGTAGACTATTCAGAAAGACATTTTTATATATTGAGGAAAAACAGCACACAATGATTGATGACAATTGTTCAGTTTTCAGTAACCACAGAGAATGTAGACAATCAATATTTTTGTAGAAAAAACAATTTACTTCAAAAAGGTATATTAAAAATTACATAGTGTTTAATACATTTCATTATGAGAAACATAATAAACTTCCAGAAGGTGTGTAATATTACTCATCGCACGTAAACATTTCACGTCCCCGGTAATATTTTGCAAAGCTAGCACAGATTTGAGTGCTTGCCCTGGGAGTGCACAGACATATGTAGAATCCCTGAACTTTCTTGATAGTAACCCTTATTCTCCTTGTTTTATAACCTTTGTGTGATGTTTTCCAGTGTGTCAAATGTTTAGATGTGATGAATACTTCGCACGTTCGGTAAAGTTTATTACATCCTGTATAATGAAATGTATTTGCAGTTGAAATACGAACTGTGTGTAAAACGTGTGTAAATGTATGTTTCTTAAGTAAATATTTTTACTAAAAAATTGAAGGTATGTCTAAAAGTCCTATGGATACTGAATCAAATCTTATTTAAGAATATGTGTGTTTTATTGTTAATAACTTTGTTTTGTTGTAGAATGTTACTATTACTGTTTTATATTTATTGTTACTGTAATAGTTGAAAGTAAGTTTAAAATAAAGTGTTTGTTTCATCAGGCTAGAAGTCATAAATTTTTCAAATAATAAAATCGTAGACATTTTTTTCCAGAGTTTTCTGAGTCATATTTACACAATAATAATTATGTAAATTCCGTGTTGGGGTAGGTGTGAGCGTGGACTCCGTGGACAAGGGCGTGAACGGCATGCTGGTGGTGGCCGTCGTGTCCGGAGGGGCCATCGCCAAAGACGGCCGCATCGTCCCGGGGGACTACCTCTTGTCCCTCAACAACGAAAGCCTTCGGAAAGTCACCAACTCTCAAGCCCGGGCCATCCTGCGGAGGGCACAGCTCCTGTCCACGGACATAAGGTGAGTTTATCCCTTATATTGGCATTTCAGTTATTGATGCACCCAGGACACATTGTAATCTCGAAGGACATTGCCCGAGGCCCTCGACCTTTTTGACACCCGAGATCGTGATAACCAGTTAATGCCCGTGGGACATACACAATTTTATTTTTAACGTAATTTTAATGATTGAGTTTTATATATTTACTAATTAACTAGATGTTAACTTGACTCGGTTTGGCTTTTCATATTTCCATCCCATAATTCCCTCGTTTCATTCCCTCCAGTAGACAATCTGTAACATCATTCGACTGTCTTCATATTTCTTTTGTAAACACATCCTCTTGATCCAGGTAAGTTATGCAGTTATCGAGATTCGCATCGAAGGCAATAACAAGCAATGATGTATCAGTAAAAATAACATTTTTTGTGTTGAATTAGCTGTAGTAAAATATAGTATTGTTGCTCGTGAGGATCATTCGGCCAATAATGTGTTATATGAGTCGTCCTTGCCGACAATATTGTTTATTGCAATAGTAGCTTTCGATGGCTTAGGCATCATGATGATGATGATGGTTAAGCCAACCTAAGCTGCTATTGTAATAAATAATATTGTTGGCAATGACGACTCATATTATTATTTCATTTTAAATGCCAACGATAATTCACCACGATACCAATACAATAATGTGTTATTACTTATCCTGCCTCCTTTGTTGGCTGTGTATTTACGTCGCCAGGATTAGTGGAAGGTTCTTGATTACAGTCCAGTAATAAAAATGCTTTGTCACAATAAATGAAAGAGACGGTGATGCCGTACTCAACTAGTATGTGATTCACACACAAACATTATTTATTTTATTTATTATCACCTTTTGATGATCTCGTGGCTCAGTGGCGAAGTCGCTTGTCTTTCACTACTGAGTTTCCGGATTCGATTCCCCTAGAACCTCATATAAAAAGTATCAAAGTAAATACCAATAACTAATGTAGGTATGTATGATTGTACACGAAAGTGTGTATTATACAGTTTCCAGAAGCTCTCGTTACCAAAACTACCCCAGATTCTGTGTTGACGTTCATAAAGAATGGCAGGTCCAGGTTTTCTGAAAAAATTTTCTTCAATAAAATTGAGTTTAAAAGTTACTTCCGGGCAAGACAGCATCTCAGTGGAATGAAATAGGCGCGATGTGTAAAAGTTTCAAACTATTCAAAATGAATATGTTTTTCTGTTTTGATGTATCGTTTAGTGTCATTGCGTTAATTATTTTTCTGTGTTTATTTTATTAAGCATTGTGTATAGTATATCGAAGCGGTAAAATGTATATGATTTCACATTTTTCAAGCATCTACCTTTTCTTGCAGAAAAGTACATCTACGCTTTTATTAAAGCCAAGAGGGAGTCCTTTTATTTTATGTAAATGTATTTGTTCTAAACATATTATTTAAGTATTTAAAATATATTTTAATTTTTTATATACAAATTTTTACTAAAGTCCGACCGGGAGAGATGGCTCAGGGCATCAACTGATGAGAGCCTAGGCTTCTGCGACCGGAGTCAGTATTTAATTGGCTGCTCAGGTGACGCCGCGTCCATGGCAAAGGTGCCGACGTTTCATTCTGCGACCTCGCTCAGGGCATTGCCTGAGAAAGGACGCAGAAGGGCGACCGAAACGTCGGCACCATCGCCATGAACGCGGCGTCACCCGGACAGCCAAGTAAATGGATCAACTGATGTCACTACAGTCCTTCTGACCGGGAGGTCCTAGGTTCCGAGTCCCCACGGTGGCAGGATTTTGGACACTGGCTTGTTAGGTAGGTCGGATTCAGTCGCTGTCTGAAGGAGAATTCTAGCGGCCGGTTGCTCTGATCGGTAGTTTTCCGTAGTTTCTCCGTTCAACACCAGGCGAATGCCGGAGTGTACCCTATCAAACAGGCCACGGACCGCGCGCGATCTCACCTTCCTCTTCCTTGTCGTTTCCCCACTTACATGCACTACACTACTACACATGCCGGGACACCCGCCAGGAGCTAAGAGCTTATCCCGGCAGGGGCGGTGCCCCGCTGATGGGAGATACCTGGCTGAGGAAAACCCCGCTAACCGACGGTAGGTCGGCGCCGGATCTCGCCAAACAGCAGGATAAAGATCACCGCCATCTCCTTAGCAAAAGGTTACACAAGTTTTACAGGTTATGTAAAAAATAGCTCGTGGATAAGAATTTTATTATTATATTAAGATTTTGTGAACGTCAGAACTTATAAATTATGAGGAGAATTGAAATGTTTTCCTTGGGGAAATAATAAATTCATAATGTTAGTTATAACATGCTTTTCTCTAATATTTTTTTCGCGAAAATAAAAGGGTTATTCTACTGACGATGGATAGAAATATCAGTTATGTGGCAGAAAGGGCCTAGCTCGCTAGTGTGCCTTTTTACACTACCGGGTTATGAAATGGGCAAGTGGTCTCTTATGACGTCACGGCAGTTGAATGCTACTCGTATAATACTTCCGGTGTGCGCGGCGCGCGACCTACAACCTACTTTTGTAGTGTGTATCTTGGCTGAGCCTTGTCTTGTTTCAAAGGACGTGCTGCACGAGTGAGTAGCGCGGCAGCGCTGAGAACATTCTCGGTTCTCAATGACTGAGTGAGAAGCTCTGTGATATGGAAGGTGAACGGTCCATTATTATGTACTTGTTGCCAGAAGTAATGTCATTTTCCGGCTTTTCTAAGGGGATAATATTTTTTTGAGAATTCTATATGTCAATTTTACATGTCAAAATGACCCAAGGGCTTCATGTAAGCCCCCCCCCAATGAAAATATCTATTTCAAATTCAAGGGTCCTCGACATCAGCCAGATCGTTCGGGGAATATCAGTTTTGTAGAAAATCGGCTGACCAGTTTAGCCGCTAGTTGTTCACAGACGGTCATATAGGCAGATGGGCGGACGGACAGATAGACGTTTTCTCGTCAATCGAATTTTCAGTATCAAGGACCCACAGAAGATGGATTGATGGTACACTACGTGTTGGAGCATTTTTTCTAAATTAAGCAACTGTATTTATCCACGTTTTTCTTACTAGGGCCCTCTAATAAGAGGTGCCGACAATTCACCGTTTTTTCGCGCAGCATTACATATCTTTCTCTTCTTAACACGTTCCTTCTTAGGCGCGAGAAAGTAAACACAAAAGGATATTTGTGTTTAATTATAAAAAATATTTAATTCTGCTGATTTTACGAAAGTTGGCCGAGCTAAAAATCGTAGTTGCCAAGTGTTTTTTGTTTCTTCAGTTTCTATTTCGTTCCCTAGCCCAGAATTGATGTTTTGTGAGTGTTTGATACCAAAAAATCGATTGACGACAAAACGTCTGTCTGTCTGCCTGGGTCCGTCCGTCTGTGAACAACGTTAGTGACTAAACCGTTTTACTGATTTCCTTCCAAATTGATATTCCTCGGACGATCTGGCTGATGTAGCGGCCCTTTGAATTTAAAACCGATATTTTCATTTTGGTGATACTTTTCATGAAGCCTTTGGGACATTTTCAAAATTTAAGAAAAATGGTGCCATCGATTTTGATTAAATTTTACTGTTGGATAGTCTGAAGAATGTTTAAGATACTGGCGCAGGTCTCATATTGGTTGAAAACCCTAAGTTTTCGAAATAGAAAAAGTTTTTTTTTCGGTGCCTTCCTACAACTACAATTACGAAGATGTATTTTTTTCTTAATGAAATATGTTCAGCAAAAATAAATCTCCAAATAAGGTCATGTTGAAGTTTTTTGAGTAATTTGGCATCAAACGCAGTCGCCCGCTCTGAAGATCCTGCGTTTCATGATCGTAATTTTAGAGGTCTTTGAGGCAGTTAGAGTGTACGTAAGTTAGAATGAGTATATGAAAATATATCTTTGCTCTTTTCGTACATTGGAGCTTTTGTATATGTTTACAATTTAATGTTGAAATGTATCTGTTTTAGTTTTCAAATGGTCCTGTTGACAATTTTGCGGTCATTGATTTATCCAGTAGTTGATGTCATCCGCATTAAATGCAGTCCACATGCCAATATCATTAATTCTATTATCTTGATCAAAAAAAATTTGAATTACTGGATTATTATTGTTATCGACAATAAGCGCTTGATCCTGGATTTCTTGCATGTTTCCTCCTCTGCCACATCCTCCACACTATCAGGAGCACTTTGTGAGGTTGAAGGTGATGCAGATGGTTGGATTGTTGAAAAAATTAATTTGAGCAATTTCTTAATTATTTCATCATCTTCTGTCTTTTTTCCACGGCTAGTTTTCGTTTTTCAGATTCACTTGGATAATATCTCTTCATATTTAATTTTGATTTTACACATTAAATCACGTACAATAAAATGTTATAGAGAGCCATTTGCAATGTTTGCAAAATTTGATATGAATAACTTAAGTTGGTAAAAGTGATTTTCATTCAAAGAATTAGAATATTGGCCAAAAGAAAAATGCAACATTTATTACGTTATTTTTGTTTTGCCCGGGAAAACTAAACGTATCACCCCTCACTCATAAATTCAATATAAAAATACCTATTACAGATACATTATACAGTATTCTATTAAAAATACAAATATATTTGCACATGACATTTATTTATAATATATTAACAGCTATACGTAATTCAAAATCTTACTATTTCTTGATGAAAAATTACGAACACACTTTCTTGTGCATTTTAAACGATTGTATATACCATTTATTTAAGACTCCTATGCGTTATTTCAAACATTGTACTCAAAATGGTTTCAAAATTGGGAGGGTCGCGAATGTGCACAGGTATTTTGTTATCTAATATAGAAGAATCCGCCTAAGAATGAGCCAAAATCCTAATCAAGTGAACATCACATGAAATTCAGAGAAGTATCCCTCCGCCGCGACAGCTGTTCAGCCACGCCACGTCTCTTCGTAAAGTGTTTGTTTGTACATGACTCTCGTTAAGACAACATAGCTTCTCATTGTTCACAACCGTGTAAATAAAACATTAATTATATAAAATACACACCGTGTAAATAAAACATTAATTAAACAAAATTATATAAAACAACAATTGATAAAACGCTAACCACGGAACGTTCTCGATCACAGATCGCCACACAGGAGCAGGAAACTCGTGCGACAGTACGCATCTGACATTCAAGCTCCGTTTTCAAATAAACATAAAGTAAAATTTATCACACAAAAAGTAAATTCAATGTAATGTTTATAAAAGATATTTTTTACAAAAGAGCATAGTAGCACTGCACTTCCTAATTTCTATTATTCCTCGTGGTGAACTAAATTTTCGTCGAACGAGATCACAAAAGGAAGCGTCAATGACAAGTTAGGCAACTGCAAGCGAACGAATGAAGGAAGGAAGGAAGGAAGGAGAGCCAAATGGGTTGAAAGACATAACGACCACAAAACCTTCAGTTATGTTGCCAGCACTAGCTGTCTAAACGGTCCATTCTTATAAAAATCGCTTTATAATATAAATATATTATATACTATATTCACGGGATTGTATAGCTTTCTAAAATTTACAATATTTTATTAATATTATTTTGTACACTTATATCGTCAGCGTGCAATCTGTGCACAAAATAGAACATGTGTATTTCGCGACAAAATGTTTAAAATATTACAAATTTTAAACTTTTCTTCTTCTTCTTCTTCTTCTTCTTCTTCTTTTTCTTCTTCAATATTGGTATATTTCAATAATAAACAAACGTTTTTTTTCTTTTTCTATAATAATTACACATCATATAGTATTTCAAGTACATGAATATTTACTTTAACAAGTATAGTTATATAATAAGCACAGACACAGAAACTTAGAGCACTACACCTTCAATTTGTTTTTTTAACGTTATTGTTTCGTCAAGTTTAAACAAGAAATTCGGAGAATACCGATAGCTGCGCCGTAAGCCAATAATGAACTTGAACTTAAACAAAACGCTGGTTAGTTTAAATAAACATACTTTTGGATAGAAAAATGTAACCCCTCAAAGTTTGAAAGTTTGAAAAATCGATATTTTTGAACTCATTAATATTAATATTATTATTATAAGTGTGTATAAGTAAACTGATACTTAGAAATATTACCAAAATTTAATTAATTAGATAATATTGCTAGTTTTTTTTAATGTTAACAATCAATAATTCTGGTCTTTTGAAGGGGCCCTAATTTGATGGGGGATCTAAGCAATTGCTTAGTCTGCTTATGTGTGGAAGAATCTTTATTTCAAAATATACCAGGGTAGAGAAATTTTCGAAATAATTTTATTTGTGTGAAACGTGTTGTGGAATGCGCTGGAGTGGAACATAAGTACCCAGTGAAAATCAAAGAAACCACGTGCGTGGGAGGTGTACATACCTGAACGGACATGACAACAATTATGTAAGTAGTGTTTCAGTATATACTTTCAATTACTTTTAACTAATTTGAATTGCTTTAATTTTTATTATATATTCGTACTTTAAATTTTGGAATATTTCCGTCATTCGATGGAGGTGCAACCTCCAGTCTGTTGGGGCACCAGCCGCCACTGAATAAACTGCATACCTTGTACAGTGAATTCAATGTCAGAAGTATATTTTAATTTAGTTTTGAAAAAGATGTATTGCTTGAAACTATTTAATTTTCGCGCCAAATCTTCTACTTTTTAAATGCTTTTTACGGAAAATTATGACTGAGATCGGTTAATTCGAAGAGAAATTGTGGGATAGTATTACATAACCATTACTAACCAATGCAGACATTTCCATCAACCAATGTTTTCGGTGACAAGGAAACAAGCATGGATTCTCACTATACAGCGTTTTAGAAGAATTAATTTCACTACGTATTGGAACAAGATTTATCCCTTTTTCGGTATCAGGGCCCCATAATACTAGTAGTTTTCTGTCGAGAAATCGTCACATTACAACACTTTCTCTACACTACGTAAGTACTATGTGAGAAAGAAACATAAGTTACGTAATAAATGCGGCAATCACCTGGCGAATAGTGTTGCTCATACTGCTACCTTTAACGCGCAGCAATGTGCGAAAGATGTTTCGTGCACGCTTCGAAATATTTCGAACAGTATTAATTAGAATGAAGAAATTAGCTATTTTACATTCTGAAACAAGCACGAGACATCGTGGTTGGCGCTTAAAACCTTTTTTCAGTCCTTACGCTTGAACATTAGTTTTTATATTCCCTTTTTTAAAAATTGGCAATTGCTATTGCATTTACTTTTTATTGGATTCGTCAATCGTTGACTCGTACGTCATTTCATTTGTACGCCAAGAGGCCACTTTCTGTCCAAGGAATTTCTTTTTGCCCTTGGGACCCTTCAAACAAATTGTACTACCAAAATCCTCACCACTGAATCCAGTTCTTAACGTTAACTGCGTATTACAACCGAGGAACGTTAAAAAGTTTATAACTTAAAAATTTTCTATTAGTATTATTCTATTTAAAGGGGGGATGTCTTCAATAGTAGATCCTGTCACTCTACCGGCACGCATTTGTAAGGAGTTAGATCAAAGAAATGATATTTGAGCAGCAACAGATTGAAATGTAAGAATGAAAACACTGTGCCAAAATGCGTTTGCATTTTGAAGTGGTTATATCACTGTATTTAATGTTTTCTTGTATGACAGTTGAATTTTCCAAACCATTTAAATGAACTTAATATTCTTTGATTTTGCATGATCATGAAGTAGTTCATAATAGGTTAGGAATTGCTTCCAACTGAATTAAAATGAATTTTGGAGTTAATAGTGAATACATTTTAATCCGTTGTTCCACAAATCTAGTTTGTAATGGATATGGTATAGTTATTTAAAATAAGTTTGCTTATAGAAAATATTTAATAATAATAATAATAATAATAATAATAATAATAATAATAATAATAATAATAATAATAATAAAAATTTTATAATATAAATTGCGTTCCTGGACATACCTTGATGCTATGTAATGGAGGAAATATTGAAGGAGAAAATATGGAGAAAATATTGAAGTAAAGAGACTGAAAATTAATTTCACTAGTTAAAAGATATTTGTGTTTTTCTTACAATTTGAAACTTACCATAGTTTTGTTTCCTGTAATTTATTAAACATTTTATTAGAAAAATTTATCAATTAGTTTTATGTGTAGATAAATTAAACATATATTTTTTGTTTACTGTGGTGTGTGAGGTACTCTTCTTGTCCAATCAATGGTTGAAGTCAAAAAGAAACAATAAAGCTGCTAGGATGCCTTATGACTGCAACTCAATCCATTTACGGTCAGGGACAGAGGGAGGCTTTGACGCCAATGAGATTACTCAGTCTGGCTCTTTCTGGGTTGCCAGTCTACCCCTTTAGTTGTCTGCAGTGAAGTTGAAGCAGTGAACATGTTGGATAATATTAATGATATATTGAAGGTAGAAGTTTCAGGCAATTATTAGAATCATAAAATGAAAATGTCTGAGGTATTTAAGATCAATTTTAGTGAACAATTCTTTGATAATGGTATTTATATATTTTTCTTTCTTTCAGTGTTACTTATATTCCTGGTGAAGCTGCCACTGCATATCGTAAGTCACTCTTGGAAAGTGAGCCTCCTATTGTACCTTTAACAAAGGCAATAAAAATATCTCCCAGGTAAGTAATTAGTATGTGTAGCCTTAAATTGTCTGCCTAATGCACAAACTACTGCCAAAAAATTAAGATCTGAATATTTTGTATATTTTTTCTTATTTTGAACTTTTACATATTCAGAGGTTTCTTTGAAGGTCTTTATGGACTCTTTGAAAAGGAATGATGAGCTCTTGCCTGTAATGTAATTTTTAAATATTTTAAGGATATTCCATGATTTTTGTGTATTTTTATGGTCTGATTACTTTTTGTGTTACGTCCACAATTTCAGCTACTTTAATGGTTTCCCCGAAACTGCATGCTGATAAAAAAATCCATTCCTTGAATACAGACTAACAGACAAATCCATTGAGTTTTGAAGGTAACTATGTAGCATTCCCCTCAGAGACCTTGGCAGTAGACATGTTTGAGCTTCATCATCCCTTGGAAGTGTAATGTTTGTTTTTATAGGGAGATGTAAGCTAATAAGACATCGATCGTAAGCAATAGTGTTCACAGCAGGAGTATACTAGGCTTTTATTCTTTGTGAAAAAATACAGATAATTAAAGCATATTAATAACATGGAATATTTAGCACTTCACTATAGATTGATTTCCTCAGTGTTTGTGTGCTACCAAACATTAATAATGTAGGAGTGATAATACTGTAGGCTTTTAATATGTATAAAATTGCACATATATGTAGTATTTGGCAGTCTAAATCTGTATTTAATGCTTTATGGTTGAATATTGGGTGATTTTAAATGCAGTTTTTAATTACTACTGTTTTCACTAGTAATATTCACATTGCATGAATAGCAGTGCATATTCACACAGAATATTAAGATGTTTGAAATTGAGGGGTTCTGCTCTCTACAATAAAAATTATTAAGCAATAAAGTATTTTGATTATTACTGAGTGCTATTTTTAGGCATTGCTGTAAATTGCCTTGCTAAATGCTGAAATTGTTATTTGCCTGTAAACATATTGATCATATATAAAACTCACATGCACTGCCCTTTTTGCTTAAAAAAATGTCAAGTGCTTTCACAATCACTGCTGTATAAATCATGCTTGTGTATTTCTCTTTTTATTTCTTTGCTTCTCCAGGATATTTCCTGAATACTACCGGTAAGTTTGCTTGTATGCAGGATAAAACACATGCTTTGTTTTGCTTATCACTTAGATAATAGGAATTATAAAATGTTTTCTTTATTTGAAAGTATTAAAGAAGAAAACTTGTTGAATATGTTTGTAATAATGAGCTTTAAAAAGTATTTTTTTAAATTAAAAAAGAAAATTGTTAAATAGATTTCTTTTATAATAATTAGTAAGTAAAAGTATTATCTACGTTTTTGATTTTTCAGCTCTCCTTATATTCAAAAAGAAAGTGAAGTTCCTGAGATTCTTAGTGGTGATAAGCTAGTGCTTAGGGAAAGTGAACTTGATAGTAATCTTGTATCAGAGACTGCAACAAGTTCTGCAGCGGATACAGGAGTTACTGAATCTGACAGCATAACTGCTGTATCACCTTTACAAGTGCCAGTACGAACTATTGTGGAAGGAAATGAACAAGTACTTTTAAAGTTAGGAAGTGAACCAATTAGTGAAGTGATAGTGACAAGTGAACCAGACAGTGTTTCGTGGAGAAGGGATTCTAGAGACGATACAGTGTCGAGAAAGGACGATCAGAGTGTTACTAGTATCCCCCCTTCAAGGTCTCAGGGATCCCTGAGTGACCTCTCCTCTCCAACAATGACTGTGACGCAACCTCCTCAGGGTCATACGCCTTCAACACCAATGTCCTCATCTGTGCTCTTAGCCAAACACTGGGGGCCTGAGCGGATGGTGGAAATTCTTCGAGAGCCAAACTGCAGCCTTGGAATCAGCATAGTAGGAGGCAAAGTAAGAGAACCTCCTCCCCTAAGGAACTGTGAGTCTCTTAAAAACTGTTGACTCATCAAAATTATTTTTTCATTTTTTTACACGTAGGTTGACTTATACAATGCTGGACCAGACAGTGGCTCTGCTATCTCAGGTATCTTCATTAAAAATGTGCTGCCACATAGTCCTGCTGGTCGCACTGGTGAACTTAAGGTACATTTGTTTATTTGACTTTTGGTACAATGTATAGGAAATTTGTCAATAAGTCTCAAAAGGAATGCTGATCATTATTGAACATTTAATCACTATACACTTCAGTTCATGTGTTTTATGAATATTATGAACAGCAAAGGGTCTAATATAGATTCTGTTCTAATTATGTATTGATCAATATTGGTTGCATACAATATTCATCGATTGACACAATTACTATATATGTTGATATGTATGGTACAGTTGTGATAGTGAAATCTGGAGATCATGCTTCAGTATTTCCTTGTATATTACATAACACCTCATATTGATAGTAGTGAATGTTTATTAAATAATATTCAATACACTTTTTACATTTTTATGATTTCTTCTCTAGACTGGAGACCGAATACTGGAAGTGGATGGAATCGACTTGCGCCAAGCAAGTCACGAACGAGCAGTGGAAGTCATACGAGGAGCTGGTAATCCTGTGTGCTTCTTAGTTCAATCTCTTATTCAGTGGGTAAGTTACATTTCACTTGTGTTTCCATGTTAGTAATAATATGTGTTATAATAAAGATTTGTAAAATTACTTCACATAATGTAGTTCTCTTCTAAGAATTGCAGATATAATGTTTTTAAATAATTACAAAAGTTATAAATGTTTCTCATTAACGTGTGTGAATTTAAATTCTAAAGAAATTGTTTCAAGACTACTGTGTCTCGGTAAGAAACTAAAAAGAACATAGAGTGGAATGAAATGTTTTGTGTAAGTTCTATAAGAACTGATGTATGTTGAAACTTTGCATTTAAGTAGTGAAGTGTGTGGTGCACTGTTGTTGTCCTATGTGTCTTCTAATGAAGCCTGTACCTGTCATCCCATTGCTAGATATTTATTGGAAACATGCTCTGTGTCGTCCTTGTGCTTACCGTTGTAGTTACGGTTGCTGTTTGGTGTTAAATTTGAAGACGCCCTTTTATTAGAATAGACTGCATTGTAAATATATGCATATTCATATTCATTAGCTTGAATCCTTTGCACCTTCCTTTGTACAAGTGTTATTTATTTTGGATTGTAATTGCTCAGCTTAGTATCAAATAATGGTGTCTAAACCTTGGATTTGACCGTAGGCACCCCCTTGTAGTAAAGAACACAATCTGTGTAGAATTAGTGTTTCTGGGATGAGAAGGTGCGGTTGTCCCACGGGAGATTTTTCTATTTCTATTGTCAGCTAGATTAAATGTTAGTGTTTTACTTTAGAACATGCACATTCACCCACAATTATTCATAAATTAACTTTAGCTTTACATTCCTTTTTTTAATTCTTGCTTAGTTTCCCTTTTGAATTGGATTATTTATTTGCATTTTCTTTTTGTTGTTCATAATTTTTTTAAGCTATTATTATTCTCTTTTTCTTTTTTTTTAAGCCAGTGGTAATTGTAGTGTGAACAGTGATTTTGCAGGTGTTACAAATTGATCCATGGCCTAATTTAGTAACATATTAATGTATGGATGTTACTAATCCCACATTTGTGACATATTTACTGCTGTGCACTTCAGTGTGCTACTTAACTTAGTGTAATGATAAAGTTATGTTTATTATGTTGATGTATTTCCTTGATTTTTGATTTCACTCTATTCCTTATAGTTCCTTATTTTGTTAAGTTAGTTAGTTTTGCTCGAAAAGGAGGCTTTTGTCTCATTTATAGATATTACAATTGCATGTTTCTGATGGTAAATATTAAGATGAAAATTAAGATAGACTGGTTTGTAAATTCTTGCCAGACATGTTTCCTAGTCATTGAAATCAATACATTATTGATTTTCTTTATTTTTGTATGTGTGTTTTGTTTGAATAATTATGGGTGATATTGCCATTAAATTGTGTCCTAACATAATCATGTAATGGAACCAATAATTAAGCAATGAAGGATGAGAGTCAACTCAAGTGTACCATACAACTTGAAATATAACTTAAAATTGTTCTAAATCTGACATTTATGCAGTTATTGAGCAAAGCAATAGTGGACATCCCACATGCCTCATTCCAGAGCGTGGACGGGGATGTTGAGAGTCAATCGACTGAAGTAGCCTCCACGTCCTCCGCAGGAGCAGCTGGTGGCTCAGAGCGAAGAAGGGCCTCCACTTCTCCCACCCCCTCCTCTGAACTTCTGAAGGTCACCCCCCAGCCAGTTCCTCAGGCTAGGACACCCACCCCTGAGCTAATACAGGTGAGGTGCTCGTTAAGTGTGATGTTAAGCCCTCCAAACAATGCTAAGTGTGTAGACTGCTCTTTGTTGTTCTGAAGGTCCCTTTACTTAATATTTGATGTTTCAAACTTATTAATAAATGCATTTTGTTTTCTTCATTGATTGTTTAAGAATCCACAAAATTAAGTATGTTCCCCTGCTTCAAGTTAACATGTGGGGATAGTAAAGTCTGCAACAACTTGTTTCAATTAGTCTCTGTTTTTTTCTTATATAACAGTGAAGAGGCCTTCTGATGTTGCACCTGACCTGGATCACCATTGTGACTAACTATTGTTTTATATCCCATACTACTGCTTATATATAGGCGGGAATGGCTGATGAAATGGTACAGGAAATACCAAAACAAGTTTCACAAAGAAAACCATCAATTATAAAACCAAAAGAACCACAATCAAAACAGGATAAACAAGAAGATAGAGACATAGAAAAGAAGAAGCCTATCTATTCTTCTAGTGAAGAAAGTGAAGATGAAGAAGACGTTAGAGAATTAGAAGGAAATATGTACACCAAAAAAGGTCATGAGGTTAGTAAAAACTCTGGAGTCTTCTTAGTTTATAATGAGAACATTCCTATATTTTATCTCATTCTAGCAATTAATTTCATTTCACCAATTTGACCTTGGGATTCTTAAGGGTGTTATCCAATTTTATATTTTATTCCACAATGTGGGAATGATTAATGCTTTCTTTTAACTAATATGATTGTAGATAAACCGAGCCAGTGCTGGAAATGTGAAGAGAACAAAAGAAGAAATTGAAGCCGATCCTGAAGAAGAAGATGACTTTGGTTACACCAAAAGTGAGTACATTTTGAATAAATGTTATGACTGTCAGTGTTGATTCAGTTTTTTTATTCACAATGTGTGTTGTAACACTGTATTGGGTGGCCTTCACTGTTAACCCATGCTCTTCACTGTGATGTTGCACTCCCATACCTTGCAGTGTGTCTGATTCCTAATGTGTTCAGAATATTTAATGCAATTGATAAATAGTACCAGGTTGCAGATTGTTTGACTTGTATCTGTTTGATAGAGCTTAATTTTATCATCATTTTTCAAGTGAATTTTTTATACTTATGGAGATATGGTGGTGGTTTTATTATTAATTTATAATGTAGCAGAGATGTGTGTGTTTTCTATAATCATTTGTAGTTTTTGTAATATTTCCTTAGAAGGAAATTTTCAGGAGTATATTAAGAAGAATGGACACTACCAATAAAAGATTTTCCTGGGTATTGTTAGGTCTTTCTATTTTAAAGTGGAAAAAATATAGAATGCTTTTAACAAATTCCTTTTTATTTTAATCAGCCACTTTAGCATATGTGCTACTTACCTTTATTTCTACATCACTAAGAGCTTCAGAATTATATATTCAAATATCCAAAATAAATATTTTAAAGGAAAAATTAAAACCACTGGATCTATTGTTCATGAAGCTAGTGTATAACAAATCTTTAATGAATAAAAATGGTGATAACAGTAATGTTGAGCAGAGATTCAAACAATGTGGATGAGATTTTTCTCATTATTTGTTAATTATGTAACTTTGACTGAGTGATAATTAATTTTTTATCTAATTATACTTGCCACCCCTTTGAAGCTTATTTTACAATATTTTACAATTCTCTTCTTATTAAGATGTTTAATAATAAAAAAAATGTTTCTTGTGAAATTACAAGTGCTGTAAAATCATAAATAGAATGTCTTGATCAGTCAGAAACAGTATTGAATAAACATTGAACAAATTATTTTTCTTTTCAAGAAAGGTTCTTTCAAATGCAATATTGCATACAATTTTCTTTTAAGTGAAAATATTACAAAATACAAAATTGTTTTTATTATTTCTTTACATTTTAAACATTAATTACATAATAGTATATTCAAAAGAAATGTATATAAATGCAAAAGAATGAATATCTAACAATTGGCAGATTCCATTCTGTAGATACATTATGATTTATATGTAGGGGTCTGAATAAGATATTTACCTTTTCATTGAGCAATTGTACACAGGATATTGATGAAACGTGCCTTTAACAAAGCAGAAAAGTTGCGTCCTTTGAGATTGTATATCCTTAAAGGGCCAGAGGTATCTAAACATGTTTCCTTACTGCCGTATTTTCTGCTTTAAATTAAAAGTACTTTTAGAGAACTTTGACTTCAAACTAAGTTATTGAGTAGTCCATTTAAGTAGTTATGATGCCATGTGTCAACATCATTTATAAGGCATGTATTTTGGCTATCCTGACGTCTTCACGAATAGTGCAAAATCTGCCTTGCTCTTGTGAGAATTTCCATATCAGTCTCACGCAAACAAATAGTTTCGGGGAAGAACAGACGCCAACTTCAAATACGTTTCGATCCATATCCCATCAGTTGTAAGTTCAGACCAGTAAAAAAATTTTTTGACAGGTCCTAAAGTAGATGAACATCGCTTTCCAAATGGATTTTTCCACCAGCGACGAGTTATTTCACGAATAGTTTCAACGATTGATTTACAGTATTCCACTATCATCACTATAAACAATATTGTTAAATTTTATATAAATCATGTCGAAAAACAGATAAGGATATTTATGCCTGTGAATTAAGTCATCAAACGGATGGCAATAAATAACGAATTTCGAAGATACTATGTTGTGTATTTTCCATCAGGCTTTTAATGATACTCCCAATAAACAACATTTTATCGCAGACTTACGGATGTAAGTAATTTAGTAGAAAAGAGGGTTTTGAAGTGTACTTTTCTTTCTTTCTAGTTACGTAAATACACAGATATTACACATTGTGCCGTTGGAGGAATGGCAGTAGTAAAAGAGGGTAAAACGGCTCAATCCGAAGTTAGCAAACTTTTGTGAAATAAATATGCATAATATCTTCGGGTACCGCACCGACCACGCTTCCAATTTGGCTGTTTGTCAGTGTGTGTGAAAAAATCGCTTACATGGCCCGCAGGCAGACAATAGTGTTGCGAGTCTCGTGATTGGCCGCGCCCCACTTGAGCCCCTGTTCGAGGGGTTCCTCTCCTCCTTTCGCCCCCGGGCCGCATATGCATTATTGAGTCGTGCGGTCAGCGGAAGGGAAGGGGGGGGGACAGCCTAGAGACGTGAGACGTGGTGTTAAGCAATTCGACAGGCGGCGCTCGGGAGCGAGGGCGAAGGCCAAGCGTCTCTCATCGCTGTGCTCTCCCCTCCCCCTCCCCCTCCCCCCCCTCCCTCCCTCTCCCCCCTCTCAATCAGAGCATTCTTCACAGCTCCCGGCCCCTTTCGTTCATAGTCCATTTCACTCAGCACGTGAAATTGTGCTTGAAGGCTGAAGATGGGGTTTGTGACATCACATAACGGTGGATTTTCCCTTATATGGAATGCCGCCGACTTACCATCGTACGCATTTTTTTAAAGATAGTTTTGCATATTGGTCGATCCTTTATTTTTAGCTTACAAATTGTGAGTTTGGGGTATGCTTCGTGTATGATGTATAGGTATTTATGCATACATAATTTACTGCATAGTGTTGCAATTGTTTGAAAGATATGTATAATTGTTTAGAATACAATTCAAAGAGGATAACCTGTATGTTCTTGTCACCTTTGATCGAAAACAAATTACTCTTATCCCGAAATTCGGCATTAATTGGAAATCATTGACAATTTAAATTTTTTTAAGAACTTTAAAAATTAAATGCGAAGTTTTAAGTTACATATTAAGAATATCAAAAAAGTTGCTGGTCCATAACGCAACACATAAATAGCAGGTATTAAAACAGGGCAATCTCTTCCTTGGAGCCTTAATGTCACACGACGTCAGTTCTGTCGTAAGCAGCAACGCACAGAGTATGCGAACAGGCGGAATTACACAATCTAATGATTGCATTTTTCAATCCAAATCGAAACTGTTTTATTGTTTTGCATTTTCCGAAGTTCTTGGATATCTTCCCAAATCGTAGACTCCCTTCACACGACCCAGGGCTGCATAGATGTCTTTTAATTTCTGCGTGCATTGGAAATTAATAATACAAATTATTTATTGTCTATCGCTATCACTTATGAGTGTTACTTTTTGAACGGAGGAGAACACTATTCAGAGGTATAAAATATCCTTTCAGAACACTACGCTCTTCATAATCTTTATGAGTCAAAATTATTATTGTCCAAAATATGTGCGAGTATTTTATATATGAATAGTTTTTTAGGCGCTTAGGGCTTCAAATGTTGTGTATTGGTCGTGAGTCGATTTTCAGCCAACGTGATGTTTCGCGTCTCTATTCCCCACCTCACTGTTCACGGCTGAACGGCTGATTCGCCCATACTTCAAATAAAAGCAAAGGCCAAGAGAGAAAACGGATGCTCTGCCGAAGCGGACTTCCCCGCGGCGCTCGTTTGTTCGTTTATTTTGTGCGTCGCCGCGCCGTCGCGTCGCTGGGGCGCAGTCGGCCACGCGACGCCTGAACGGCCCTTGCCCTTGCAGAGGGCAGAGGAAGCGGACAGGGGCGGGCACAGGGAGGCGGGAGCCATTTGCCAAGTAGAAGGAGCGCAGGTGTGTGCAACATACACCAAGTGGGAACCCATAGAAAATTAATTAAATGTGATACAGTTTAAAGAGAGTGAAATTATAACTTCAATTAATAAATATAATTGATTTTCTGTCGAGAAAAACTTACAGGATGTCCTGTAAGTATCCTGTAAAGTTACAGGATGTCAAATGGGTTGCAGAGCTTGTTCTTCAAATGCCGTATCTAATATAGTAATCTAATAGATGATTGTTTATTCATATTTCATGCGCTGCCGTACCGTCCATCCGATTGCGATAAATCTTTGTCAACTTATTGTTTGCTTTTGCGCGAAGGATATAGGCATAGTACAATGGTAATGTGCGTATGTCTGTCGCACATAGACCCAAAATGTGGACGATGATGTATGTGTTTATGACTTAGCGCCTTGATTAGAATCTCTAGGCAACCCGTCACACCGTCAAGTATTAAGCGCACCTTTGCTGCATATTTGGCCCCTGCGTTTGTTATTACTTGATCGTTATTTCGGATAACTAAATCAAATTTCTCCAAGGAAGTGTCATAGCGAATGAATGCCCAAACTTGAGAAAGAACATGTTAACAATAGGATACTCGACAACCATGTCCAAACCAGAACATAGAGCACACCCATACTCCAGAGAAAGTCTTTCATCTATTAAAAGTTTTGCAGAGTGTCACGTTAAACAATAACAATCTCGTGGCCAGTTGCGTGTGAAGTGTAATACTTTACATAGTGAAGCATTGCCAGGTCCAATAGTAACAAGATAAAAATTAGAATAATGAGAGATTGAACATATTTATGGAAGTATAATATTTTATTACGTAATACTACGTACTCCTTTCAAAATTGTCAGGACGCATGCCCCCCCCGTCCTAACCCTGCCTGTACGCCAGTGAGATCGGGGTGATGAGCGGCGCGGGCAAGTCTTAGTCCGAGAACTGTGCAGATGAACGGGTGATGGTGAATTTGGCAGGTGTAGCATTACGAGAGAGGATTCTGGCAAAGTCTGTGGTGTCCAATTGACGAGCCAAGGACAGAGTTGTGGACGTGGCCCGGAGGGGGGGGTGTCTCACGGGAAGGCGACATCCACAGTGGAAGTGTGAGTGGAGAAAGTGTCACAAGGAAGATAGGATCCAGAACGCGGGTGACGGTGGAAGGAGCAGTGAAGAAAGCACTAGAAGTGGAACACAGAATCAGTTGTATCAAATGAATGAGGAACCGGTGGCGGCACGGATGGGGCCAGAGGCCGTGCCTTGGGACAAGGAACTA